GTTCCAGTCTGATATTTAGAAGGTTACACCTCCCCCCTCTGCTTCCCCGCCCCTCTCCACAGCTTTCAAGTTAGGTCTAACCAAAGGGATAGATATATGACAACTCAAGTTTCAATTGGCTTAAAAAATTTATTCGTTGATAACTTTGGGAGTTCTGACTCTATTTACAAGAACTTGTAAGCTAAAGCCTTAACTGTCTGAGTCTAGTACTTCATCAGATTTCGTAGTCCAACTAATATTAACATTTCATCAAATCAGACGAGAAACAGGCCCTAAATGTGTACAGAAATAGTCAATATTTACGACAACAGCGAAAACCGCAAAAAATGTTTTTATTACATGAAATAAATCTTACACCACAAACCTATTAAAAAAGGCTCTTTTTCAAGCGCGACAAGTCAATTTACAATTTGGTTACGATTTCACTATTAGAAAGTATGAAACTACTTGAACCGGATCGCTTTTTTTTTCAGTTTTTTCTTGGAATTTCTGAGACCTAAAGAATTAGCTCACACTTAGACTGACTCTTGCTTAATAAATTATGTACATGTCGTCTACCTGCTTTTGTGATGTTTTTATTGTGTGAGAGGTTTAATGTGCGTAGCTGACAGTTGTTGTTGTTGATGGCTTTAGCCAAGTGCTGTGCTCCAATGTCTGAGATGTTATTTGCTGTGAGGTTTAACGTGCGTAGCTGACAGTTGTTGTTGTTGATGGCTTCAGCCAAGTGCTGTGCTCCAATGTCTGAGATGTTATTTTCTTCAAGGTTTAACATGCGTAGCTGACAGTTGTTATCGTTTATGGCTTCAGCCAAGTGCTGTGCTCCAATGTGAGAGATGTCATTGAATGCGAGGTTTAATGTGTGTAGCTGACAGTTGTTGTTGTTGTTGATGGCTTCAGCCAAGTGCTGTGCTCCAATGTCTGAGATGTTATTGAATGAGAGGTTTAACATGCGTAGCTGGCAGTTGTTATTGTTGATGGCTTCAGCCAAGTGCTGTGCTCCAATGTGTGAGATGTCATTGAATGCGAGGTTTAATGTGCGTAGCTGACAGTTGTTGTTGTTGATGGCTTCAGCCAAGTGCTGTGCTCCAATGTCTGAGATGTCATTGAATGCGAGGTTTAATGTACGTAGCTGACAGTTGTTGTTGTTGATGGCTTCAGCCAAGTGCTGTGCTCCA